GGGAGGACGTTTCTTAAATGCAATTAATTTGTTTGGATGAAATAAATGAAGTTTGACAGTAATTCAGTTTTGAGTAAATTATTCCCACGTGACATTCAGTTCAGTCCATGAAACTAGGTTCAAATCAGGTTAGAATACTTGTGGTTCAATTCATGAGAAGAGGAGAAAAACTAATTACTATGGAAAAATAATTACCATAAAAATAATTACAAGTAAAATATGTATTTGATGACAAATAAATAGAATAAAAATAATTACAAAACCTACGCATACAAAACAAACATCAATAAGAGATTGCATTCATAATAACATTATTTTGATGGCTTGAAAGATAATAGCTATACCAAGCAAAAGAGGGTAGAAAAGACAATAGTTTGCACAATAAATAACATTATTTTGATGGTTTCAAAAATAATGGCTATACCAAGCAAAAGAGAGTAGAAAAGACAATAATTTGTGTTTCAGAAAAATACGCTATTAGAAACGTGAAGTTCGTAAACGAAAAATAATAATAATTAGGTTACGAATTAAACGGACCAACCAAAACAAATAAATGAATAAACGCGTTAAATATGGGGTGATGCAAATAAACGCGTATTTTACCGTATCTTTCAACTCTGATCGACAAACGGAAGTATTTTATCAAAATTCGTACGTACGCGTTTAATTTGCGTATCATACGTGAATTAACTAACTAGGACAACTACTTTATTAGGACGTGAATTATTGTTCAGTCCATGAAACTAGGTAGAAAGCACGTTAGAAAGAAAATGGTTCAATTCATGAGAATAAGAGAAAAATTACTTACTTTGGAAAAATAATTACCAAAAAAATAAATCGAAATATAAAGACGACAAATAAACTACTAAGGATATTATGTATAAAAATATAACAATAAATAGAAAATATGTATTTGTATAATTGATCTGTTGAGACTTATATTTTGATGAATTTCGTTTGGGGCTTGGAATTTGTCTTACAAATTAATTGGGATGATTTCTATAAAATGGTAACGAAATTATGTATAAAAATATAACGATAAATAAAACATATGTATTTGCATAAAGTGATCTGTTGAGAGTTATATTTGAATGAATTTCATTTGGGGCTTGGAAATTGTCTTACAAATTAATTGGGATGATTTCTATAAAATGGTAACGAAATTATGTATAAATATATAACGATAAATAAAACATATATATTTGCATAAATTGATCTGTTGAGAGTTATATTTGGATGAATTTCGTTTGGGGCTTGAAAATTGTCTTACAAATTAATTGGGATGATTTTTATAAAATGGTAACGAAATTATATATAAAAATATAACGATAAATAAAATATATGTATTTGAATAAATTGATCTGTTGAGACTTATTTTTGGATGAATTTCGTTTAGGGCTTGGAAATTGTCTTATAAATTAATTGGGATGATTTCTATAAAATTTTAATGAAATTATATATAAAAATATAACGATTAGTAAAACATATGTATTTGCATAAATTGATCTATTCAGAATTATATTTGGATGAATTTCGTTTGGGGCTTGGAAATTGTCTTACAAATTAATTGGAATGATTTACATAAAATGGTAACGAAATTAGCTATAAAAGTATAACGATAAATAAAACATATGTATTTGCATAAATTGATTTGTTGAGACTTATAATTGGATGATTTTCGTTTGGGGCTTGGAAATTGTCTTACAAATTAATTGGGATGATTTATATAAAATGTTAACGAAATTATGTATAAAAAAATAACGATAAATAAAACATATGTATTTGCATAAATTGATCTGTTGAGAGTTATATTTGGATGAATTTCGTTTGGGGCTGGGAAATTGTCTTACAAATTAATTGAGATGATTTCTATAAAATGGTAACGAAATTATATATAAAAATATAACGATAAACAAAACATATGTATTTGCATAAATTGATTTGTTGAGACTTATTTTTGGATGAATTTCGTTTGGGGCTTGAAAATTGTCTTACAAATTAATTAGGATGATTTATATAAAATTCTAACGAAATTATGTATAAAAATATTACGATAAATAAAACATATGTATTTGCATAAATTGATCTGTTGAGAGTTATATTTGGATGAATTTCGTTTGGGGCTTGGAAATTGTCTTACAAATTAATTGGGATGATTTTTATAAAATTTTAACGAAATTATATATAAAAAGATAACGATAAATAAAACATATGTACTTGCATAAATTGATTTGTTGAGAGTTATATTTGGATGAATTTCGTTTGGGGCTTGAAAATTATCTTATAAATTAATTAGGATGATTTCTATAAAATGGTAATGAAATTATGTATAAAAATATTACGATAAATAAAACATATGTATTTGCATAAATTGATCTACTGAGAGTTATATTTGGATGAATTTCGTTTGGGGCTTGGAAATTGTCTTACAAATTAATTGGGATGATTTCTATAAAATGGTAACGAAATTATGTATAAAAATATAACGATAAATAAAACATATGTATTTGCATAAATTGATCTGTTGAGAGTTATATTTGGATGAATTTCGTTTGGGGCTTGGAAATTTGTCTTACAAATTAATTGGGATGATTTCTATAAAATGCTGACGAAATTATATATAAAAATATAACGATAAACAAAACATATGTATTTGCATAAAGATCTGTTGAGACTTATTTTTGGATGAATTTCGTTTGGGGCTTGGAAATTCTCTTACAAATTAATTGTGATGATTTCTATAAAATTCTAACGAAATTATCTATAAAAATATTACGATAATCAAAACATATGTATTTGCATAAATTGATCTATACAGAATTATATTTGGATGAATTTCGTTTTGGGCTTAGAAATTGTCTTACCAATTAATTGGGATGATTTACATAAAATGGTAACGAAATTAGCTATAAAAGTATAACGATAAATAAAACATATGTAGTTGCATAAATTGATCTATTGAGACTTATATTTGGATGATTTTCGTTTAGGGTTTGGAAATTGTCTTACAAATTAATTTGGATGATTTCTATAAACTGGTAACGAAATTAGCTAAAAAAATATAACCATAAATAAAACATATGTATTTGCATAAATTGATCTGTTCAGACTTATATTAGAAAATTATTTGGATGTTTGTCATAAATTATAAGGAATATATGTGTATAAGTAATAGGATAGATGCTACATATGTATTTGCATAAGTGGATCACAATATTGTTGCATTTGTATTCTATTAATTTGGCCCTTGCAAATATTTTCAATGCATTTCCATCAATTCAAATACTTGAGTCACACTCATAAGTCAAGAGTTAATATTTCATAAGAAATGATGAAAACCACTTATTATGCATTATCATAATACAGAAAATTATACAAATTTGCCCAACACCCCCCCCCCCCCCGGCCCCCCCTCCCCATATTGTTATAAAACCCAACAACAATTAAGCAGAGTTAAATAAACAAAATAAGTTAAAACAATGTGAAATACAAGTAGAAATGATTGTCAACTATGAAAGAGTCGTTCAATTGGTCGGTCCATCTCTTCAATTGGCATTTGGGATGTTCGCCTCACACTCGATTCGCAATTGTTTAAATCTGCTATCTTTCAAAATGATCATGCCACAAAATGCAATCAAATTAGATACCACGACAACAAAGAATAAAATTCAATAAAAAATTAAACTGGTACGAATTGTGTAGATGAGGACAACTACGTACCTTATTACTTCTGAAACCATCAGTGAAGCAATCATCATGTGAATAATTGGTATTGGAATTGCATGAATCAGCAACAAAGGTTTGCAACATTATATATTTTTCAGGATATATTATAAACATTCAATTAAAGAATTATGCAACTTTGTATATTGCAATTTATATGTTGGTTCCACCTTAACAGCAAACTTGCCTGGTTATTTAATGGAGTAGTTAGTTCAGTAGGCGGTTGCGAAAACCTTCTGTAATGCATTACACGTTGTGGTGGCGTCACATAACTTTCTTCACTGAGAAATTCAACTGGAATTTCACAGCCCTAAATGTTGTAAAGCATTTGACCATATATTAACTTCTAACCATAATGAACATGTTAAGCAGCATGGGAAGCTGCGACAGAGAAAATTGAAAAGGTGGATTGGGCTGCCTTATGTTGGACTGGGGGTAAAGCTACATCGTCTATTCATTCAGTCTTAGTTATGCAAAGACCAGTTATTAGTCAGGAATTCTTCCAACAACAACCCTTTGCATTGGCAGCAAGGTGTTACCTAAGTTATAAACAAGTTCAAACAGATTGCATGATAAGATTGCAAGAGTAGCTAAGGATCTAGATAAATGTAATTTATGGGAGGTTTTAGATGTGATGGGAGTTCATCTCCAAGACATTTTGTAACTTTCCATTGCTTAATAGTTTAGGTGTTTGAGAGGGAAACATTTCTAGGACTATATTTTGTTTTCATGAGGGTATGCCATCATTTCTCTCCATGTATTATTTGTTTATATTCAATACATACCTATCATTTAGGGGTGGGGGGGATAACATAAAACAAATGTTAAGCAACGTGCTGAAAATAGTTATGCAACAATACTCACATTCACTAACACGTAGTAGGGGATTGTTCCACTATGACTACTGCCACCTGCCTCTCCTGATTGAAGGGCTTCATTACAATTCTACAACACAATTATGAGAATTATTACGTATGCATAATTTAATACACAGAACTGGTATTCCTTATGAAACTACTTGGACAACAGTAAGGGGATAAAAGTACCTGAAGCTGAACTGTTTGTTTCATTGATTTCGTCTTATTGCGACTCTTTAGCTCCATGGTCGGTTTTAACCTCTTAAATTTTCCTTTCCGTGTATCTTTACACTTGAGACCATTGGGGATTTTGTCAGTATTTCTGTTCGTGCCGACATATTGGTTTTTGCCTTTACCACCAGTATAAATTCCATTCCTCTCAATAAACCTACGCCTACAACTTGATTGGGCAATTTTTTTCTACTCCATGGCTTTCACTAATAAATCATTGTATCCGTCCTTATCCTCCGATACAATGGACAAAATTTCAGTCAGAATACAACAAAGTACCCCGTGCCGTCTCCTAACCTCAATTTTTGGATCAGCTTCGGCAATCACTTCATCGAAAAGATTTTCCTCCAAGCTGCCATCTCTTGCAGTTTTACTCCACCTTTTAAATATATATCGACGAGGCAATGTATTGGCGAACATGGAGTCCTTTAGGATTTTCAAACTATGCCTACACATAATATCCTCCCTTTCAAATTTACAACAAGAACATAACAATTCATCTTCTGCTGTCCTCCTCACGTCGCGTTGCATTCGATCCTCACCAATGACTTTATAAACACAACCTCCGTTGCCATCGATGGGACTGCAACCAATGATCATCTGACTAGCAGCAGCTGCTAAAAACTCCTCCCGGAAAATATTAAATATAACCTTTGTGTATAGGTTTGCCGCCTTTATTAATATGTTACAGTTTATTTTCAGTTGAGGTAGATTGTGGAGCAACCCATACTCGGCTACATACTCTTTGTAACGCTTATCGGACAACAGCCTTTCAAAGTGTGTGAAGAAATCTAGAAGAATCACTTGCCTGGATAAGTACGCCTTCAAGCAACCGTTGAAGCTCTCACTCAGTTGTGTGCTGTGGATACCCGCGTACCAGGTATGTTTAATAAATGCCATGGCCCATCTATATTTCAAAGCAAAGAGATTTGTAAGCCATGTGTTACCAACAACACCATTTTCCGTTATCATTAAATTTCATTCCCTGGTAAATTCTTCCTTCTCCTCAATTTCAAACATTAATTTTGATAACACCTTCTTAAAGCCTTGCGCACGTCTAAACAACAACCCTAGATGCTTCTGTGCATTTTGCATTAGGTGGCAAACACACAGATAATGTTTTGTCCCTGGCATCACCTGCAAACACTATTTTCTGTAATATAACTATGTAAAAACATGTACCACGCCCAACTACACAATTAAAATTTGGAATTGCAAATAGTGGAGATCTGAATTAAAATCACCTGCGTCAATGCCTTTCCCATTGCATCATCTTGATCAGTGAAGATCGTCTTTAGCGCTTTACCGGACATTGCTTTCAAAAATGTTTCAAACAACCACATAAACGACTTTGCAGTCTCGTCATACATGAACGCTGCTCCAAACACAGCGGTCTCCCGGTGATGATTCAACCCCAAGAAACTTCCAAATGGATGGTTGCCATGTACAACTTTGTATGCTGTGTCAAAACGTACAACATCTCCAAAATTGCAATAATCAACTATCATTTTTGAATCAGCACAGAATATGTTAGTGATCATTTGATCACTATCCAATTGGAATGCATAAAAGAAAGATGGATCTTCACAAGACTGAGTCTCAAAATAATTCATTAGCCATGCTGCCTCTCCATATTCGAGCTCAGTTTGTCTTCGGGTCCTTATATGGTTTAGTAAATCCAACTTCATGTACCCGACTGATTGTTTTCCACCAGCTTGCCTTCCCATCAACTCATATGAATTGCGAGGGCTTATTCCTGAATCAGAAGCCAATTCCAAATCAATGGCCTGAATGATGAGCACTGAAAAGTGCGCATTTAAACCCGTTAAGCTTAAGCATTCTAGTACCTTTATCTATCTTACTTTGCCGCTTTAGACTTATTACGTGTTATTTATATTTTCAGGCACTAATCCCAAAATTGAGCTAACTCAGCCAAATAAGAGCTTAATTGAAGCAATCCTGAGATAAACCAAAGGAGGGAGCAAAGTGGAGAAAGAAAGGAGCAAAAAGGAATCAAGTTGTGCAACTGAAAAGTTCGATCGATCCAACTTAGAGTTCGATCGATCGAACATCTATGATCGATCACAGTACTTCTCGATAGATCCAACCTTGGCCTTTGTTGAAATTCCAAGTTCGATCGATCGAACATAACCTTCGATCGATCGAACCCTATTTTGTCCTATTCAAATGATTGATCTTATCCACAGCTGTACGCCTACCAACCACTTTTGTCTTTTTCCCCATAAATATCTTGAAAATATCATAGCCTTGTCATTATCCGGAGGAGTCAGACCACTTCGATCGATCCAAGATGCAGTTCGATCGATCGAACCCATTTTCGATCGATCCAAGTTAAGGTTAGATCGATCGAACTTCCTCCAGCGAGAAAAAGTTAAAGTCCAGCTCATTTATTCCGTTCTTCATCCAATCATTGGAGAATATGCCTTGCATAACCACAGCTCATCATGGGGTGTATTTGACCTACCTATATAAGGAATATGATACACTTTTTGAGGGAGAGTCTCTTGTCACACATTGAAAATCATCTTGGAGGCTATTCTTGGAGAGGAAGAAGGGAGGAAGCTAGAGCAACCTTTGGAGGAGATCTTCACCAACAAGGAGCAGCCATGGAGTTAGCCCTTGAGGGTTGGATCATCACTACCATGAGTGGCTAGACATCCTCTTGGGGCTAGAGTTAGCCCCAAGCATGCTTTCTATACTCTAATCTTGTGTATTATTGAGGGATTAGTGTTGTATGATACATCTTGATATTCATGTATATATAAATCTTGATTATTTCATGGTTTGTATGGTTTAATGCTTCCAATTGACTATTCTATTCTATCCATATGTCTATGTATGCTAGAGTAGGATATTCATGTGCTTATCTCTAGATTTAGTGTTTTTGATGCATGTCTATGTGTATTGATGCTATAGATCTAGAGATTATCAAGATGATATGCTTAATGAATGCTATTTTGGTTCATTTGATGATTTATGTCTATTCTTGATGGTTTGTGCCTCTCCCCTAGTCTAGATAGCTTTATTTTCATGCTAGTAGTGTAGATTTAGTGTAGTGGTAGTGTAATGTTAGATGGGAGGACAATCTACTCTTGATGTTTGATGTTCCATGCTTGTAAGTCCAAATGGCATATTCCTCTAATATTGTGTTGTATGTGGATTGTGAGCTTAATGAAGGATTAATGACTTGTTTTGATCTATTGTGCTATCCCCATGTTGTTTAGACAATATATGCTCTATTGTTTAAATATATTGTGCTCTTCACATGATGTTTAGACAATACTTGCTTGATTTGTCATCCTTGCCAATTGAATCAACCTAATGCACACACACCCTTATCATATTGCAACACATCCATTACCCTCAATTTATCGCTTGTTAGTAGTATAGAAAAGTATTGCTTGGTGGTGATCTCTACACCCCAAGATCTCTCTCTCTCTTGTTTACTTCATATTATTTTATTTAGTTGAATTCAATTTAGCTTAATCAACCAACCAATCAATTGTGTGATCACTCGACCTACTAACCCTAATTACCATAGTTTCACAATTCGATACACCATCAAATCCCTTGGGACGATCCCTACTCGCCCTATCTATATTTTATATAGAGAAAGGTAGTAGTGGCTTTCTATAAATGTAAAACTTGGCCACCTCCTAAATTCACAACTCTTCAAGCTTTGTTGGTTGTGGCGACTCCATCAAGGAAACCGACAACACTGAACACGGCTAATTCTACGCTGGGATTGCAGCATGTGCATGCATTCATCAATCATCAATGGATGGTTGTGGCTTTCAACAAATTTTGTAACTTCCAACTTATGCGTATACTTGGAAACTTGTATAAGCATTTGAGCAGGGCAACCAGTTCGTGTTTCGGCCCTGGGAGTCTTTGTATTACTGTCCCGAATGTCGTCACCCCTGAAACCCTCCTTGCAGCATGTTAACAATCTCAATGACAGTTTACCAGTCTTCTTGCTCTTATTAAAATACTCTTTGTGGATACTAAAACCGACTCGACCGGCATATGAATTACAGAAATCATATGCCTCTTTCTCAGTTTCAAACTTCATACCTATTCTTGGTTTCCATTCTACGACACCTGCCCTTGCAATAGGAGCGTTTTCTGTATATGTGGTGTCTTCGATGCTATTTAATACCTCTTCCATTCTAATAATTAAAATCAGAAACCTACAATATATAAAAAATACATTTGAACGAAGGGCTGTGTTGCAGGTATGGATTATTAATTGGAAATATTTTCTGACCTACTACCATTATTCAAGATAGTATAATGTATCAGGGCAGGGAACCAACTTTCTCAACTGCACATATTTTAATTTTGCTACAAATAACAAAATAAATGATTTATTTATCTTTTTCCAAGTCAAACATGCACTTCCAACCTTTTTGGACCTTCTATTTTCATAAAAATTACAACTGTGTTCAATTATTCATTTCACTTTTTCCAAATCAAATATGAACTTGCAAACTTCTTTGGGCTTATTTTGAGAAACACTACAACCATGTTAAGTTAGGGGTATAAGAAGAAACAACAATACGAATTGGAAAAACATTTCCATGTCATGCAACCAAGAGTAGTAGTGTGATGCAGCTAATCATGCAACCAAACAACATCCCAACTAATTTGAGAAATTCAAACAAAGACAAACCAACAACAAACAAATATTAAAGAGAGAATAGGAAAAAACTAAAACATTTGTAGAAAGTGCACATGTTATTAGCCAAAGATAACTTTACCAACAGCTTAAAACAAAAAAGATAATAAATTTTAACCCAAAACTAAATACATAAAAAATAATAAGAATAATACTAATAATAAAAATAACTAGAGAACATCATGAAAGCTACCACACAGATAGTAACAGAGTAAATTAAGTAAAATAAGAAAAGGAATCCAAAGATCATGATTAAAGAAAAACACTCCAGATAGCATTATTATTAATGAATAATCAGAAGAAAAAAAATAAAATAAAAATTTTATTTCTCTTATTTTAAAGAAAGATACATACCCAAAGACATAGACAAATGTATTGGAGTAGCAAGCATAATGCCCCCATCTCTCTCAACGATTAAAACCCATGACAGAAAAGATAGAGCCACATTGCCTTCTTTGCAACTTAAAGTCCCAGACAACCCATTCTCTCTGTCTCTGTCTCTCTCACACATACACACACACTGTGACACAGTGAGTTTGTAATTCAAAACCCACTGACCACTTCTTCCCAAAGATGAAGAAACAGGGAAAGATAGATATAAAGGGTCAAAAGGACGTGAACAAGCCAACTATTCAAATCCAATTCACTATTACAATAACAAGAACAGAACGTTGTGGTGAAAAGAATCTGCATTAATTCTCCTTCACTCTTTTATTGATATATATATCAGACTTTCTAAGATATTGAAATATACTAATTTAGTCAAGAGGTATTTTTTTTTTTACTTCATTGTTTATTTGTTTCTTTACTTTTCCCACTTGTCTAACTGACAATGATGAAATGTGGGAGCATTAGTTAGTGGGAAATGATGGGAAGGTCTTGGGCTTATTTTGAGAAACATTACAACCAAGTTAAGTTATTTATAATGAACAATCATAACTGTCAATGGGAACTAACATTTCATACAATGAAAAATTTATTCTAACATATTAAATTGGAAATGAAAAAGCTCCATTTCTTATTATAAAGAATATCCCAAATATATTGTAGTATTTATCACGAATAAAACACTGCATTACAGGAATACAATGGATATTTTATTCTAACATCTTAAATTAAAGTTTAAAACGTAACATAACTTCTAATACTGAATATCACAACTTTTACACAATTTAATCATATAATTTTCACAATTTCTCATCTAATTTTTCACAGTTTAATAACAGTTCAAGAATTGCCAAACACACGACACTGAAGGTTCCTCTTCCCCACGTTCAATCAAACCTTTCCAAACAAATTGTAATTTTTGAAAGAACAAAATTAAGGAAAGCTGGGACTTTTTTGGGAAGACAATTTATTTCATTCTATATTTAGGGAGAGAAGAAGAAAGCAGATTAAGAACATACCTTCGTTACTGTAGCTTCCTCTTCTCCAACACTGAAGGTTCCTCTATCCCATGTTCAATCAAACCTTTCCAAACAAATTGTAATTTTGGAAAGAACAAAATTAAGGAAAGCTGGGACTTTTTTGGAAAGACGAATTTATTTCATTCTATATTTAGGGAGAGAAAAAGAAAGCAGATTAGAAACATACCTTCGTCACTGTACCTTCCTCTTCTCGGACATTCAATGAAATGTTTGGAAAGAAATTGTAAATTTGGAAAGAAGAAAGAAAAATTGGGAGAGAAGAAGAAGAAACAAGATTAGAAATTTAGAAGGTCCGATTCGTAATTGTGCCTTCCTCTTCTCCGCCGATGTTCAATAAAACCTTTGGAAAGAAATTGTAAATTTGGAAAGAAGGAGGAAAAATTGGGAGAGAAGAAGAAGAAAGAAGATTAGAAGAGGCGCTAAATCTGTTTTGGATTTTCCAATTTGCCGCTTCAATATGAGTTTCAATAGAAAAAATTTCGTGTATGTATGTATGTATGTATAATTTTTTGTATGTGTATTGTTCGTATGTGTCTCTGTGTACTTTTTTTACCCAAAGTACTGTTTGGCCCTTTTTACCACTGCTACAATGAAAACCGGAGGGAACAGATTCTCCTGTTCCACAAAAGAGGATTCTGGTGCAAGTGTTATAGACCAAATGTGACATGCCAATCTCTTATTTCACAAGCCACGAGGGGGATGATGAATCCCAAGAGAAGGGAGATGTGATTGTGACGTTTCATATTATCGGTAAACGTGTTTGACATTAAATTTTAAATTAGACAATTTCATTGCATTTTAAGAACTAATGCAATCCCATAACGTCTCATATTATCGGTAAACGTGTTTGACATTAAATTTTAAATTAGACAATTCTATTGCATTTCAAGAACTAATGCAATCTCAATAAATAACAAACGGAAAGGATGCAAAGCAGACAATAATTGCACTGTGGACTCAGCTATGGCAATTGGACTTGTGGCCAAAAGATTACGAGCTCGACAATCACCCACTCAAAATAATTTTTACTCTTATCAGTGAACTATTGCAAGATGCAACAGACAAATCCTAATATCAGGCATTCATGATTTCAAACTACCACATAATTTCGTTGCATTCCAAGGACTATAAACAAAATCAAAAACCAGCCCAATCCTAATGAGTAAATACAATTACTAAACCGTGTAAAAACCAGGGCAATAAATCCGGTAAATATGCTTATATATACCATAGACATACGATTAGTTCTTTATTTACACACACCATCATATTGCAGACTTTGCTATATCCAGAACAGAAGCTTCTGAATCCTTGAAGCAATCTCCTAATAAGTTCCTAATCTGTGGTCATGGGGCGAAATGATGCAGTTTACAGCTGGGTGAGGTAGAATGATGCTGTGATGGTCATGAGGAGCAACCGGCATAGAAATGTTTTAATTATTTGTCCTGCGTGTTAAACCAAACCAAATTACATTAAATAACAGTCAATTTGATATTAAACCAACAAAAATAAGGCATCAGGAATGATGAAAAGAACAAATGGAAGGGGAAAAAGAGTAGAAATTAACAACTAGGCCTGATTCGACATTGTCAGCAATAGAAAATTACTTGGGGAGCAATTCTGTTGTGTAGAAGGTACCAGTGAGATAATTTGAAGTGTCAAATTGCATTAATATAGAAGTAGCATTGAAAAATATCACTTAAGAATCCCCCACCCGAACCATACACATAGTCACACACACACGCGCGCGAAAGGAAAAAAGAGGATAGCCTCAGGTCTGCTATCAACTTCTCTATTTCACAAGAAGAAGACCGTTGATAAGACACAAAACAAAAACATAATTTGAAACAGTTGAAAAATTGGAATCTGGAGATTAATATTACAGTTCAAGTGCGCGCGTGTGAGAGGGAGAGAGAGCAGCTTTATGGAGGTAATTCAGAATGTGGGTTTGTCAGTATGGTCCTAAAACTGCACAACCTATTTACAAGATGAATCCAAAAAAATTGGTCTGTTCGTTGGTTCTTCCAAACCATTGTCTTCCGAACAATTGTTCAAGACAATTTGGTTATGAGCAACTAAGCCCATGAGAAAGGCTTCATCAAGTTGTGTTTTACAAAGAATGGGAGAAAGACTATTTGCTTCTGACCATATTTTCTGAGCCCACCACTTTGGCACAACTTCCCATGCCTACTCACAAGTAGAGCTTAGATAATAGCCTACTCAGAGGAGTATAAATCTTAATTTAATTATTTATTGCCTCATATGGATCAGAGGCACAAATCATGTTAAAAATAGAGAAGATACAAAACCACAGATTAATATGAATGCACCAAGCCCAACATGGGACAGGCAGTGACTGCTACTAGAGGAGGGAGGAGTCATGGAAGCCTGACAGACAGCATTCATGGAGGCTGGAAAGAGAACTCACATCATGTGCTAAGAGCTAATTAATTATATATGCAAAGATATAATCCTAATCAAACAAGTGTGGTGCACTGATAAAAGTTTGGACCAACAAGCGTGAGGATGTGTTCGAGTATGAAATCAGCTACTGTACTTAAAAGTAAAACAAAAACGTTAGGTCCCAGAACCCATGAAGGCAGATTAATAATAAGTAATGTTTTTTATTTTTTATTTTTTTTTTCTTCGTCTATTAGTATTTTTCATCAAGTCATGGATAAATGGAATTAGAAGCACCACATTTTAATATATTTTACATGAGAGCAAGTCATTGAAACAATTTCAATAAAAAATCCCGAGTTCCCTCAATCAAATATATATTCACTATTATCACTACAAAGTGAATTCAATTTTATACAGACCTCACAGAGGAGCAAAAATCTATTATTATTTTCCTGCAGTTATCTGCTATCTTAAATCTTGACACAGTTTGGATGATGCTATTAGTGTCCCACAAGAAATTGGCATTGGTGCAAACTATTGTAAAAGTGACGAAATACAAAGAAGGAAAGAAAGAAAACAAAAAGTAAAGGAAATAAGAGAAAGAGACAGCCAGGCGACAGAACCACTGAGACGAGTCATGACCAAATAAAATGGATGGAAGACAAGATACAAAAACAATTGATAATAATTAAATACAACAAAGAAATCCATTTTTTTATGTCAATTTTACTACATTTTGCGTTTCAGAACTGAAAGACTGGTTTTGATGCAGATTTTCGCTAAAACTAGAATCTGAGTTTTAAGCCATAATGGTCACGGATGTATCAGACCTACCTGAAGCAATTTCATTGAAACTATAAAATGTTAAATTATCGGTAATATCGAGAGAGTCGTGGACAATAATCAATGAAGATGCTACCAGTCCACCTATTTAACCTATTGAGTGACTGATCTATCCATAAATTTGCTCGGTTGTTCCTACATTGTTTTCCTGATGGAACAGCAATAATCATTTTCAACAGCTTCTAGCACATGGATAACTAGCATTGCAAATCATGGTCATAATCTTTTCTTTCCGAATTGCAAAGATGTCAAACAGCATCCATGTCATATGGAAGACAGTAAGAAAGTAAATCTCATCAGAGAACATGAATGACTAAAGGACTATACACATCCATACCCTGCTTTTAGAGTTCGAACTCTCGACCATAATGACACCACATTCTTCAGCAAAAAGCTTCAAGTCATCTAACTTCCTGCAGGAATAAGTGAGAGAAAGAAACAATAATGAATAAAGAAGTGGACAGAGAAAAAGCAAACCTCAAAATCATCAACAATAGTCAAACCAAGAATGAGGAAAATTTTAAGTATCTACCTCTCTTTTTCAGTATCAGGTTGCTTCTGCAAACTGGTCCTAGAAGCTTTTACATCTGAAAAAACCTGTTCGCCTCCCTGTGGCAAGAGTTACTTGAGAAACATAATCACCATGTTTTCTATGGTAGTGAAGAAGTAAGGCGGCCTGCATATCTGAGACACAAATACTTACATAAGCATCATCTCCCAGCCACCCAGGAATCTTCCCCGAAAGAAGGGTAACATACTGCTCCATAGCCACCTCAGGGCTCATATTCCCTAGACGTTGCCAAGCATTCCTAGCACAACATAACCACAGACCTCATTAGTTATACAAAGTATCTCTCAGCAGTCAGCACTGTTATGGAAACTAACAGCCAAACTATATGTATCCCTTAACCTAATTTAGAATTAGACCTAATGTAGTGCATAGACAAAGTCTATTTTGGTCATACCATAAAGCTTAAGCTAACACCTTAAGATATTTGAGCAGCTAAAATGGGGGATGGGGGAGGGAGGGAGAGAACAAACAATATGTCCTGAATTCACCCACAAGTATTTGAAGACTGAAACTCCTCTAACAGTTGGCCTCCATTCAAAATAGAAATATAAGTTGACATATAACCAATAGAAACATTAGGAAGAAGAAGAATTTGAAAACTGGAAAAACAATGAACAGGATTGACTCTTACACCTCTGATGGTTACAGAATAGAACTGGGAAAACTGAATAAAAATGCTTTATAAAGCTTAAGAAAGAAACTACTTTTAAACATTCTCTTCCCCTCCACTCATTTACAAGAGGCAAATAGAGCAAAAGAACACAGGGAGGATAGAAACCATCTACAATTCAATTGGCATCGAAGATCACGGTGGTATAGAGACGGATCAATTAAGACTTCATAATTGATCATGGTGGTATAGAGAGTGCAAACTACTTGTCAGTTGTCACAAATGAAACAAATAAAATAAAACTAATTTTTCTGGTCTAATAGTGTATACAAACACAAACTACTTGTTAATTTAAAAATTCAAACTCATTTTCTTGCTAATGAATATTTAGTTATCTATAACTCTACAAATTCAACAGGTCTAGTTCATTCAATGCTCTGCCTGCAAGATAGGATCCATCTCTATCTTCAAACTAGTTAACTAGTGAGGCCAAAGATTATACGACCATGATGGACCTCATTAGTGATCAAATTTAATTTTTGAGCTTGCTCATCCAAATCCCAGGAGTCATTGAATCAGTGATGCATAATTCTACAAGTTTAATAGCTTATCAGAATTAAAATTCTATAAGTTTTAATCAAATCCAGCACCTTTACCCCTTCATGATTAGATTTGTAGTGGTTATTTAATATTATCTTCGCATGGACATTCTATTAATTCAACCATACAAAATTAATGCCCCCATGAACTCTCTGCATTCAATGTAAGAGTTGGTAAGCATAATTAGCAAATAAATTGATTGTTTGTGATTCTTCTTCTTCTAACTAAGACACACACTCGCACTATTGTCCCAATGGGGCTCAAACCCTCAACTCTCATGTGGGAGGAGGAGGAGACACCATTTGGCTATGCATTGGTGGATTATTTATAATTCTTAATACTAAAAAGATCTTAGGAGAAGCTTACTACCACTTTGCACGAGCAGAGACCTTCAATGCCATCGGCTGCAGCTCGTGGCAAGGCCCTTCAATGGCAATCTTATGAAGTCCATACAACTGCATCTTCGTATCATTCTCAAGATTAGAAATACAACCAGCATTAGTCTTGGAGCCAACAAATACCACAGCAGCACCAAAACACTTTTCCAAATCAGTTCTCTCTATCCCCTCCCAATCATCAAGCAACCCATCTTCTTCCTCAGCAGCCACATTGTCGCTTACTCCATTGCTCTCATTACCATCTCCGCCCACCGAAACCAAGACCTCATCGCTTTCGGCCACACCCACTACATCCTTCACCATCACTCCATCAATCTCAGTCCCTATTGTACCTTCACCTTCCAATACACCAACCTCCTCGCTTTTGGCCACACCCACTTCACCCTTGACTAATTCGATCCTGATTTCGCCAAACTCTGCTCTCTCAGGACTTTCTTCAACCAGGTTTTCTACAAACTCATCCTCCACAACAATCAATCCATGTTCCTTCAACCCTCCAGAATCAAACTCACTTTCTTTCTCTTTCTCCTCACAAACACTCTCTTCCACAGATTTCTCTTCCAATCCAACAACACCAACACGTTCATTATCAGCAATCTCACTATCGACACATATTACCGACGATGTGAACAGCAAAAACTCCTCCTCATCAAGTTTGATAACTCTTTCTTGATCACAAACCACCGATTTTTTGGCATGTTGGGGTTCATTCATGACCCTTTTCCCCATCAAATCTGCAGACACCGACACAGACTTTCCTTTAGCAACATCAGAACTAGTAACCACTATTGACACAAGCTTGGGAATAACAAAGACCAGAAGGTAAACACCAACAGTGAAGAGGATTTCTTGAAAAAACTCCATGTAGAGAGAAATGGAGATGGGGACGGGGATGGAGATAGAGAGAGAAAATGACCTTGTGGGTTAGAGAGAGAAAGAGTAGCAGGGAATGGGGAGAGGGATAAGAACAAGGATTTTTGCCGAGGCAGAGCAAGGTATATTCTGGTGTGAGTCTGCCTCTATATGGTTGAGTGTCGGTCCTACTTTTGCTGGCAAAGCGTTTTATAAAGCGAGGTGTCGGACTCTCGCATTAACATCTAGAGAGAGAAAGTTAGAGAGAGAAAGAGCGCGGCGGTTAAGCCAATTGGTTTCCGCTACCTAACCTAGTTTTGTTGTTTTTACACTCTCTTTTTATTTCCTTTCTATTCCTTTCTTTTGGATTGCGGTGTTTATTGATTAGTTTAACTTTGAAGAGACACAATTGAGCAACTAAATCATATTTTAGTTGATAATTTATTATTTCCAAAATAAGCTGTACTTTATTCATAATTTTAGTCTTGCACTCCACTTGTATTCATAATTTGATTACATACCCACATACAATATATTAGGCATTGTTGTTCTTTGCTTGAAGTTGGCTTAAAGATGTTTAGAACAAGACCAACATTGGTTTGAGTGGTATTTTCTCAAATTTTCGAAGAGTTGATTGAAGTTGAAGATTATTATTATTATTATTTTGAAAGTTAAGTTGAAGACTAAATTATAATTAAGATAGAATGTGAATGAGTATGTTTTACCTAATTAGAAAAGAGATACATATAGTGGAGTTTTTTTTGTTTTTTTGTTTTTTTTCAAAGTTTAAGTAAATGCAAATAAATTTAAAGAGAATAAATTTGAAGTAAAAAATAAATAAAAAATTTAAAAAATTGGGGGCTAGCTTGGCCAGGTCACCCGACCGCAGATCACAAGCTGGCTTCGCCCTGCATTCATGATTTTGTTATAGATTTAACATATAATCAATCATGTTAATCAAGAGCTTTATGACTTAGTAATATTTTCTCTACTTCTGAATAAGGATGGTGAGACTTCGAGTCTTCAAATGGGTGAAGTGGGTGTGTGAGTGGTGTCCGTATATATGTTTCTTGTCAATTAAAATAAAATAAAAAATTCATATTCATGGTCTTGTTATAGGGGTAACAGTACATAATAGATCTTGTTAAACAAGGTATTAATTAATTAATTAATTAATTTTTTTGTAGTTTTAAATTCATATTTTTACTACTAACCCTCCTAGTTAAGAGGTATTACAAAACCTTTTTCTATCTTTAGAAATTATTGCAATGACCTAAAGGCGAAATAATTGGCATTTTAAACATTTCATTTTACTAAAATAAGTTACTTTTAACGTTGAGCAATCTTAACGATTACCATACCAAAATTTCTAAGATAGTGAGTGTGAAACATTAAAAAAAGTACGCTATAATTTCACTTACTCACTGAATTACTTGTAATAATAACACAACATATACTATTATTTTTGTTTGAATAAGAGATGACGTTGCTTATAAACAGTTATAAATATTTTTAAATGTGACAAAATTCGGGAAAAAAGTGCATGTCATTTAATATTTGAGTGACTTCGCCCTTTCATTGAACTTTTATCCCCTTTCTTAGGTCACCATATTTAATAGCAATCATGATGAATTCACGCGATATGATGTGATATGATATATATACACACACTGAGAATATATATTAGTAATACACATGATATTAATATGAGTAAGAAGATGTGAGTGTGACACAACTCAAAATGTGATAATTTGAATATTAATTGGTCAAAAGTTATGAGGTCTGACCTCATAATTAATATGACATACTTGAATAATACGTATAAAAATAAAAACTGAAAAAAAAAAACTACCACCACCCACAGCCTCTCCACCACCTATCACCAGATTCACCACCACATGATCATCATATTGAAGGGTGGTAACGGGAGACTCAACTTTGCAAACTTCTTGGTGTTGTGAAGAACCAATTGGATCATCCATGAGGGACCTAGGCCACATTTTATATGATCAATTAAAGTGATTCGACTATACATTATAGGGTTAATTGCAAAGTGTTAAAAAGTTTTTATGCGGTATAAAACACCCCTCTACTTTTAATTTAGTGTTAATACTCCATTGTTTATATAAAAAGACTATAATATTCTCTTACCAATAAAATAAAATAATATTCAAAAAATAAAGTAAGGTAAAATTATCATTTTAGATAAGACACATGTTTTTCAACCCTAATTGGTTAGGTGGCCGAATAATAATATAAAAAACATTATACAAAAATTTATGTAATATTAAAAAAATAAAAAAATGGAGAAGACCCATTGTTAAACGGATGAAATCCAACTGATAAAACAAGTAGAATAAGAAGAGAAAGTGGGCAGATTAGGGTTTTAAAATTTATTTTATATCAATTTTGATCAAAAAGTGGTTAGAAGAGCTTATTTTCATTTTTTTTTTAATTTTATGAACTGAAATGCACATTTAAAAAAAAAAAAAAAAGACTATCTGCACACAAAATTTGTATTACATGGAGTTTTTTGCGGTTAACCCTACATTATATACCCATTTCTTTTCAAAATAATTTCTAAATTTTGATTGGTCAACCAACCACTTTTCTGGATAACTTTTTTGAAAGAGATTAATCAAGCAATTGGTTCTAGAAAACTGTTTCCTATTAGATTGCAAGGCTGTAAATCAAGCAAATGGAGCTTGTCTTTTTTTTTTTTTTTTTTGGCAAGTTAAGGGTGGCTGACTCAAACACGAATATATGAGATAGGCGCTTTACCAACCAAGATACAGAGTAATGTCCAAAGTAATGATTATTGCAAGGCTGTAAATCAAGCAAATGGAGCTTATTTATTTATTTTTTATTTTTTTTTATCTTAAAAACTTAGGAGTAGAAGACTCAAACATGAACATACTTGTTCGGAAGATAAACACTTTACTAACTAAAATACTGGGTAATGCGGGAAGTAATGGTTATATGAACTAAACTTGTTTCTAGGTTGAACGTTTTTTATACAAGCCTTTGAACTCGTATCACCAATTTTGTAAACAAGTTTGAATGAGTAACTAAGGCTATGTTTGGTACGGTGGGTTTAAAGGGGGAGGATAACATTAGTTATGAGGGAAAGAGAAAGGGAAGTGAAGGGTAATTTTAACCTCCTGTCGTGTTTGGTTGGTTAATGAAGGAAAAGAAAGGAAAGGATAATGATTATGTTTGGAAAAAGAAAAGAAATGAAAGTATTTTAGTAAATTTATTATTATTCCCTTTTATATTTTAAAAGAAAAATTTATAAATTTAAGTATATAATATTTGCCAAAAAAAAAAAAAAAAACGTATGTAATAAACATATAATATTTTTAGGGCAAATCATTTTAGGCTCCCTGCCTCCATCTTTATTCTCGTTCTCTCTCTCTCTGCAACTCTCTCTCTTTCTCTGCAACTGCACACTACAAAATCTATAAGAATCAGAAGTTCTAAACCCATATATTTCAGTTTATCTATCTGTCTGCAAGAATCAAAAGTTTAAAACCCATATCCGCATATTGTTTTAGATTGTTCCAAAAATCAAAACCCATATCTTTCAATTTCCATCACCTGCTGGTTCCAGTTCGGGTTTGCCGTGTCCATCGCCGGATGTTCCAGTTCGGGTTCGCCGTTCGCAAGTTTCAGCCGCTGGCCCGCTGTAAGCTTCCCCCCCCCCCCCCCCCCCCCCCCCCCGCCGGCGAACTGCTAACTTGTATGTATGGGTTTTGTTTTAATTTTTTTTCATCAAGGACTGTAATTCTTGTTTTGCAAACTAAATCCTTAATTTTGTGTGGGTAAATTTGGCGTCAGAAATTATAGTAGTAAATTTTGGCGCCTTTATTCTCGCGCTGAATACATGCCCGCCTTTGTTCCCGCGCTGAATACATGCCCTAATATCAACGGTAATCTTGAGGATAAAAGTGGCATAACAACTTTTTCATCAGCCATTACCTTCCCTTTCCTTCCATTTCCTCTCATTTTTGGAAGGATAAATAAATTACTGTACAAATCTATACTTAACCCTCCAAAGCCTTCCCTCTCCTTTTCTTTCATTCCATCCATTTTACTCAAACATAATTTTTTAATCACCTTTTATCACCTTCCCTATTCCTTCCTCTCATTTTCACTCTACCAAGCTGAGCCTAAACTAGTTTACCAATCGTTTTATTTGTTTTAGTCCTTTTTAAAAGTAAAGAAAAAAAAATTCATGTTGAACTGTGTGCATGTTGTAGGTTGGCTTTTCTTTGTCAAATCATTCTTCACCTTTCTCTTCGAAAACGAGCAGTAGTTACATTGACACGTAAGTTTGAAATTTAAAGAAACATAGGTGGCGTGCTCTGCTTTTTTTTCATTGTTGAGGTTGAAAGTTTCTAGGGCAGCAAGCCGGATTGACCCACATTAATAATTGTGTTATTTTTGTTAGTTAAAAACATTAATAAATGTGTTGATGAGGCTACCTATAATGTATTGTTATTTCACGGAGTGGGGTTAATCACTATTTATTATTTTATTATTTATTTTATATATTTTTTTATATATTTAATATTTTGAGTAAAGAAAATTAAAAATATATTTATTTTTTATTTGTTTGTATTTTTTTAAACGGCTATTTTTTCAACCATTTGAATTTTTTTATATTTTATATTTGAATGGAATAATTCTTTTAATAAATTTAAGTTAACATATTTCTCACAATTAAATAAACAAAAAAACACATTACATATTTTCTCACTATTACATAAATAAACTAAAAATACATTACATATTTTCTCACAATTACATAAATAAAATAAAAAAGACATTACATATTTTCTCACAATTAAATAAATAAAATAAAAAGACGTTGCATAATTTCTCACAAATATAAATAAATTACATATGACCACTCCCTTGATTTAGTTTATTTAAGATTTGATTTTGTTGTTGAATGATCCATGCCTTTGATGCTTCTATTGGAGCCTTCGATGGATCTTGACGTATTATATTTCTTTTAAACTCCATTTCGCCATCCCTTATCTCGTTTTTATTTCTAACTGTTTAGTCCGTTCTTTTTCCAAATTCGATTCTATCACCAGCTGCTTAGTCCATTGTCTCTATGTGGAAAGTTGAAGTCTCATTCGTTCTCTTTCCACACCTGTTTCACCAAACATGACACCTTGTAC